AATCTATTTAACGACAGAAGGCTATCAGAACTAGCGTTCTTCCTAATTACTTTTCAACGTTGGCTGAATGATGATGAAACTATTATTTTTTTTTTATTAACTAATGTACGTTTTCTAAATCTGAGAGTAAAATTTTTCTCTCTCATATGCAAATTTCTAATGACATAAACTGCATAGTGAAAAAATGGGAAGAAAACCCAAAGTCTACCGGGATAAATAGACAGACAGCAGGTGAATCTTGAATAGAGTAATAGCAACATTATAGGAGGACTATAACCAATTTATTGATGAGCTTATCTGATGAAAATAGTCCAACTTCTTCCATCGCATCATACGTTTAGTGCAGGCATAGATAACAATATATAATGAAGCTTGTTTCCGTTTGAATGAGGCCTTTCAGAGATATTCTAACGATGAATAGGGTTAGACGATAATAAGGCTTTTTAAGAGCCGAGTTGAAACCTAGTGGCATATTTACTAATCGTTCTTGTTTTTTTTTTATTACTACATCAATATTTAATAACTTGCACAATTTCCTTCAATTAATTAAATTTCGATACTTATTATTGGTATACGACGCTATTAGGCAACCAGCACATCTGTCCATATCTTGTGATATAATTTCTTCAGATGGACCAGAACGAATCAGGCTGAAGTTCGCAGCAAACGTCTGGCTACGTTGCGAGGTAAGTTTGTGCAAACTGTGAGCTAGAGGATGGCGATAACCTCGCTACCAGTATGTAGGACAGATTCTGTCTTCCTGAGGTCGTATAGAAGTGGCCCGACGGGCTTGCAGCGAAAGCATCTTAGCAGATCAACCATATCAACCATCTACATATTACATAGAATCTATTCCATAACAAATTAGTATCATTAAATGCAATAGTCGTAATATTTCTCGTTTTTTTTTTAGGCCCGATATTTTGGAACAACAAGCAATAGCGACCTTGTATTATAAAATTCTATATATATATATAACTCGCGAGGTTAACTGATATGGATTAGTTTAGCCGAAAGAACGTAAATACTACTATATATGATCGAGAAACATAGCTCGCCAATCAGTCTGAATTATCTTTAAAAAAAGAAAAAGTTTGTGAGAATTACCATAAGTATAATTCGGACTTAATGGACGGATAGCAATTAACAGGACGAATTTAATTAACTTGGCAGAGGGTGCACCTATCTGAATGCGCTGGTATCTGCACACGCTAGATATTGACCTGGCGCTAAGATTAGATCTAGAATTAGTTCCACTCATCCTATCGTGCTACCTTTTCCAGAATCTGAATTTTTATAAACAACTTCACAACAGATCCAGACAAGTTGCGTAGCATCGTCGACGGAACTCGAAGCAGCTATTCCTGGTCCCACATAATGATTACCTACGATTGTAGAAGTTGACGAACGTGCATGTTGGAAATTTATGCAATAAAAAAATGGTTATTTAATGGTTATAGATATATTGGTTTGGAAAATGGATGCTAGCGGCCGATTTTTTCAAATTGATTCCAAGGCTACGCCTCGCCAGTTCTTAAGATGTTATTTTTTAAAATTATCTCGTTGTTTATACAAAACGCTGCTGTGGTGGCGCAGTGATAGCGCGTTTACCTACTAAAATTAGAAATTGAGTCGGGGTACAGGTTCGAAACGGGACATATTGAGAGACGCGGCTCGTTTTGTGCTGGGACGGCTCACATCTATTGTCTGTCTTACCCAATCAATATTTTTTATAAGCTAACTTTACGACTTTATGCGATTGTGGTGTGAACTTCTGCGATGAACTTTAGGCGCCTAAGGAAAGACAAATTTAAAGATTCTAAACATGGTACCGAAATTGAACCATTTAAAACAATACATTCACTTCGACGACGTTAAATGGACGTAAAACTTTAAACATACATTCCAAGTTCCCACAATGCGCGTCAAAATCACTAGTAATTGTCTCGTGCTATGGGCTGTAGTCACATCATTACCATCGTATAGTTATAAAGAGTTTAATGTGTTGCGATTAAGTAGCAAACAATAAGGCAACCCTTGAGTTTGCCTTTCAGGTCGCGCTTGTCTGCTTTTGTCGCCTGTCTTCCGTCACACGTACCTATCTTCGCGAAAAGACGGACATGAGTCAGCACAAAGGTAAAACGCTTTTTCAGAAACCGTTTGTCACCAGTTATACTCTCCTAAAACGTACCTAATATAGCAAGTATTTTTACGAACTAACAAAGTGTGTCTGAAGCGAGTACTCGTATACGCCTGTAGAACATATTGAAAACACATAGTTCGATGAAGGTGTGATAATCTATATAAGTAGGTTACTTTATGCTTCGATAAGAATACACTGACTGGCTATTTATTACGTAACTCTTACAGGTCATTTTGAACGCATGCCATTTGCCGTTCCTGCTCTTACATCGTAAAGTATTTCAACGTCGTAAAATTAACCTCTGGATAATAAGGTTTGCCCCGGTCGAGGCCCAACCTGAGGTTCCTCATAGCTTTGCGACTTCGACGTTTTTTGGACACCTTCGCTGAAAACCTCTACTTAATGAGACTATTAGTTTGCCAAGGCCCTTTTGAGAAGGCTGAAACCTATTCTTGGTCTTGCATGAGAAAACAGCGAGCATAACACGTCGTAACCGGAGGCAACTTATTTTGCCACATTTAAGCCACTAGTTAGCTTTCGTTTATATGAAACAAAGTCATGTCATTTGTATGTAGCAGGCTATAATTTAATGTGCCCGACTGAAATTTTTTCTAACTTAGCTTTGCGGCTGCACATACACGTACGGTTTAAGCTTCTGCAGAAATTGATCAGGCACTGTGTTCTGCAAATGCAGAAAAATTCCGATAATCGTTGATTTGGAACGCGAACAAATGGTTCATTGATACCTGTCCTAACAGATAATGGTATTAGAAATCATGAGGTACCCTTTGAAGGGATATCTTTGACTCAAAAACTTACTCAAGTATCGACTTAATTTACGTACCCTGTGTCTCGCTGGAAACCCGCCCAATTCGAATGCAACGCAAAAAGTTATTGGAGTACATATTCAAATAGCAAGCCATTGCTTATTTTCGTTGCCTTCGCTCCCTCTTCCTTTAGTCAGTCCAGCACTTGAGAATGTTCCGAGCCCAGTTGGCAATGAATCAGAGAGGCAACTTTCGTTAACAAAACGTAGGGGTGCGCCATTAGTCTCGACTAACTCGCGCCAGTCTCGCTGAAGGATACTAATATCCACAAGTGCTATGGAGCCACTCGTTTCATAGCAGCTCAGGAAGATTGGCTAGCATTGAGATTTAAATCAGACGAACATGGTTAATGACGTAAAACTCGATGCAGGCTTTGTAAATTGAACGAACTTTTTGGACCTCAGAGAATCTAGGATGTGGCAGAAGGGCTGCCCCTTTTAGCTTTGCTTTCAAGTGACGCTAATCAGAAATAGAATCTTAACTTGACGCTCTCTTGAACACTGATGTCGCTACGGGACGATCAATATTTTTCCGAGGACCCCCGCTAATAACACACACCATTTTAGCGATGGCTGCCTGCAAGCGTTTGATGCTAAGGGATGAAGGATACATGTCACTGATAAAATACATCTGTTTTATTAAAATTCAGTTAACGTATGCATGTTCATTATCGTAATCGCAAAATAAAGTAAGACGTCTTTTGATACGTTGGAATCAGTAAGGTTTTCAGAGTTTCCTTTTTAAAGGCAACATATAGGAACGCAGTACACCGGTGAAAATGGCGAAATCAAGCTAACTTTCTAACTATTCAAGTTGACGGCTTGACGCCAATCGATTCTCTCTCTGTTCTTATAAACGTCTCACGAATGCCATCTGTATTGTTCAAGGGCATATTCAAATCATCGTGCTCTCTAGGAAGCCAAGATCAGTATTTTCAAAGTTACGATATGCTTTCGCGAAATACGCCAACCTTATTCGTCCTGGCATTTGAGAAAGGAAGACCTAGCTGTAGGCTGGCTTATTTGGAAACGAATTTTTGTCAGAAGGGTCTTCCCACTCGAAGAAACAGCCTATGATAAATCAAGTACTAAAGTAAAAAAGAGTTGCTGGTTTAAGATTATATCAGGCAGTCCTAAACAGGTCTCTTTTACCATACCGATTCGTTCCTTAACCACTAGTCCTGAAAGTGAATACAGTTCGTAGATGCAAGCTATAACAGTTCAGTAAGAGTAATGCCCGCACTTACAAAATTTCAGGCAGCAATCAAGTCTAAAATTTGTTTATAAAAACTGTAATAATGGCTTACGGTTGTCCTAATATCAACACGCTTATTAAAAAATAATTCTACGTTTGAGGTAAGTTGAAGGTAACTCAGACGTTTATTAGAGTCATCGTGAAACCTTAGCGATTCGGGTTATGTCTTTCTCACAAGAAGTTACTGCGGATCATTTGTAATACCGAATGTTTGAAAGTAGATCAATATTTACATGCGTCATAGCGCCAAAACAACAACAACAACAACAACAACAACAACAGGGATTTTCCGTAAGTGTGGCACAAATTTGGACAAAGAGCAGTAATTTAACTTGTTGTCAAATGTACGCACCCGTTACATTTTTACGGCCTACATGTTCTACATTGTCTTTGTGCCTGGCCACGTCCGTCGTCAACACAGACAAATGTTGGAAAGAAAAGTACTCTGAAACATTGTGGCACTTACATCTAGCTACCCAGCTTTTTACATCGATACGTAGCTTACTCTCCGTTCTCAACTGGATTGGTGTTCTCTGCTCACATCACCGGATACGAAGTATTACTTTCTGTGTTTAAAAACAAGAAGGCCGGATTAGTCGATATGTGTTATATTTTTCGCAAAGAAACGCATTTGCTACAAAAAACCCGAGCCAAAATGTCTAACGGCTTATACGAAGCTCAAGCTCTATAATAAGTGTCACTATTTTTTTTTTCTACATTTTCCGGTTGTCCTAAACAATCACGTTCGTATGAATCGATTCTCCGATGTCTCGTATTAAGGATGCTATTTTGAGTTTTCTCTTTCAGAGAACAAAGTTTCTTAACAGCGGATGGCCAACTGACGAGTTAGCATCGGAACTTACCTTTTTTACTGATGTGAAGTTCCCCAAAAAGTGGCAGTACTACCATAATGACGGGTTATGAAAAGATTACCAAAGTGCAGATAAGACGAGAACGTAAATACACCGCCCCGGAACCATGGAAATTTGATGTTGAGATGGAAATCGGACCAGAGCGGTTGGCGTATCAGGTTATCAAAACAATTAAGAAGGACTGTCCAGTGAACAAAGACAGGGTTAGGTTCTTATTTGTGACGGAAAGATGGCTAGAATGTGATGAAGGACGCAATGGTTATAGTTAACACAATTGTACAATATTCCCATTGTGCTTGTAAAGACCCTTCTGCGGAAGGATTAAGCAAATCGTTTATTTGTACATGTTACGGGTTCGGCAAATGTATAGTTGCCTAGTGTAAAGGTATTGTTCGTCTCGACGAGCCCTTCATCAGCAACTAACGACGCTACGTGCTTTTTGAAAATGTTGTTTTTCAAAATTGTTGCTAAAAATTACTTTATTATGTCGTGTTATTTTTGCGCATCAAACCAACAAGCTTAAAGTATTAGCAACGTATCGCTTGAATCGGGGGCTTGCGGCGTTATAGATCGGGCGTCCGGCCCACCGAAGAGGGTTCAATTATACGCAAATATGCTTTAAAACATTATGCCAGTTTTCATCGTTCGGTTTAACCTAGCAGTGTCCAGGCACTAGGTAAGGTATTGTCATTGGTTCGGCTTCTATCATAGGCTTAACAAAATTTGAGACGTTTTATAGAGCTATTGTATAATGTTTGACCTCACCTATCAGCATGCTATTGATAGCCGAGTTTACCGATCCGGCGGCAGATATTCGCTTTCTCATTTTTAATAACTGTTTTCCAATTACTGTGATTCTAATATGGACTTTTTGTTTTGTTTGCGTATTAGAAAATTTTGGAGCGATGGGACATCATCCTTGGTGTCGAGGACAAAATCACCATAGGCCGGCGGCCGAAAGAAGTGAAACAAATGATTCGTGCCACAAAACTCACGTGCAACTTAATACTACTTAGGCCGAATCTTTACACGATGGGCGAAAAAGAGCCGTTTAAATTTCGAACGTAGGTTCTTTGCTGGCGTAAGTGCTAGAAATTGGTGTATATTTTAGGCTATTATGGCGCTGCTTATTGAACTTAGTCGGCCTAAAAAGTTCGTATCGACTATTCCAACCAAGTTATTTCTACGTAGCACAACACACGTGGCAACGCTGCTGCTTGGATTCCTTTTTGCTTCCAGTTTTGACAGAGACAACGATTATTTGTCCGAGTTCCATATTTTGTTACCTTTCCTTATCCTCTTTTTGCCACCTTGGCTTTCTCAAGTTCACCCCCAAGGGCCCTGTAAAGTACCGGTCTTTACCTGCAAGCGGGGAATGTACAGAATCACATTTTTCGTTTGCATACTCTCCGTAACGACGTAAATGCCAGACGTACAGTGTCAACCGCATTCGAAATTTAGTTTACGGTCGAAGTTCACGTGAAAATGTTTAAAACAAACTCTTTCCCGCTCATTCTCTTTAGGGGAGGGCCAACTGGGACCTCACATGTCGCTACTTCTTGCCCTTTAACGATTGCAGGCAAATATCAGGGATATCTTCATCGACGTGTGTACCAATTTGGGAACCATCATGACAAACGCTCTTGTACAACATGCGCACATGCTATTTGATTCCCATATCCCCTCAATGTGACCATAACAGCTGCTATCGAGGCCTGATTCAATGATGAAGCGGACAAGGCTGTTACGCATTCAATTATTTCTACAAGAAGCAAAACACGTTGGCCAAAAGTTGAAGAAGCACGATACAAAAAATCCCATATATGAGGGTTGGGCTTCATATACCATGAGCATGTATAGTGAAGTCAGCCGATATTCTAGACTTCAGCCGATGCGGCGGAGTCGTGTCGTTCGGTAGGCGCTACTCGTAGGTGGTGGCTTTCCACCACCGCGTGCTCAAAAATCTGACATTGGGGGACCAATAACTAACTGTTCCACTCCTTTGTGCTACCGCTGTAGTCACTGACAAGCCCAAAGGCAAAAAGGAAAGAAGACAACGGAATTTTAAGATAGCAACTAGTGAATTTTCCTTTCTCCTTGTTGGATACATTGCAATAATCATGGGGCGTAAAAGCCCTACTACCTGCTGCAGGTGATTCCTAAAGTAGCTTTGTATTATTCTTTGCTGAGAACAACTGCCTTCAATTGTTCTGTTTGTTTTTTAGGAAAATAATGTACTGTGACTAGTCGACCTGACATGAACCAAAAATAATAAAGGATATTAATGGATAATAAAGGATATCGATACACGGTATTACATAAAGAGCATCAAGCCTTAATATCCGTATATTGAACTACTTCTAGATCTTTCGATCTAAACAGAAGATATTTTATTACGCGTTGTCCAAAACCAGGTTTCGCAAAATATCAGTAATTGTCTTTCTCCAATTATATCTTAAGTTAAACCATAAATGTAGATGGTTCCGAAGATACTTTCAAACCAATTTCTTCGTTCGCAAAACAATTTGGTGCTCTCCACTCAGGCTTCTAACGTTCGATGTGCTTCTTAAAGCAACAGAGCTCAGGTTATTCGTAAGTAGTTGAATGACTATTTTTTTTATTGGTGATCGATCCCCAATTTGCTTAAGATGCCATAAGTACCCCCGTTTTTGGGCATAGAGTGAAGCATATAGAGTTTAAGTTAACAATTTCCATACGCACTTACGTAATAATGAGGGTGGTAGCGTGATTTTGTTACTTCGATGGGCCACTTCCTAGTCGATACATATAAACCTTGTCTCGAATGAATATAAACCAAAACGTCCCAAAGTGTCATGGCTTGAAACTTCATAACCTACATAGAATTCGAAACCTACATAAAATTTAATTATAAACAATATCAATTTTTATTATTGCGATTGATGCATGACTGATACTATTCTTTACGACGTGAACGCCAAACTTTCTTCTATTTATATTGTTTCACAGGACTCGTATTTTGTAATTCGTGTTGTGGGTAGAACAGAATAGCAGTGTGTACCCTTCGAACATATGCTATCTGCCCTCAATACAATATGACTTGCGAGCTAAGATGACACATAAATCTTCCGGGATGCTCCAATATTGACATATTATAGTCAAAATGAATGCCTCTCAGACAGAATGCTCTCGCAAACCGTGCCAAAATGACCCCAAAGAAGCTTCATTTCGATGTATCATCGTATAGTGTCAGGCCAGCGCTGCAATTGTAGGCCCACGCCGTTCTTATCCCCGTAAAACGTTTCTATGCGGACCAGTGCGCCTCGTTTGTGCAAACAAAAACACAATACCACCCCCTGTCGAAATAAAATTGGCGGACAGACAATAATAGTACAAACAAGATTAGTGGTTAACTGCAACATTTCCTGTTTAAAAAAAAAGACTTAATTCTTCAAGGCTATTACTATTGAAACCTTTGTACAAATTAGGACACATCGATAAGGGAAAATGTTTCACAGTTGTTTTGATACAGAAATTGTTTAGTATTTGAGGACTAATTTCGTATTCGCACTATATGCAACTATACGCGTCTGTGACTTCATCGATGTTCCATTTCAGTCTGTGCTTGGAGACGCTTCGTAAGTGTGCCCCCATAGTGCTTGTTGTAGAAATGACAAAACGCCACAACTGCGAATGGCCCAGTTACGGCTTTGAGACATTCAAGGTAAAGTCAGCATCATATATATCGAAATTTGCCCGCCGTAGATGCTTGAAACATTGTATGTACGCACAAGCTAACAGGGAGGGCCGTTAGAAACACAGTGTAATGTTTCTGCATAAATCAGAATAGGAATGTTAAGAAGAAACTAGTGGACTTAGACTGCACTGGAATATTCAAACAATTATAATATTCACCTCTCTTCGAACCTTTTCCGCTCATCAATCAATCAATCATTATTCCTTCTAATTAAAAATTTTCTTATTTGCTGTTGAAGAGCTTGGTTTGAGAACAAGCTCTTCAACAGCATCATTGTTACCCGGTTTACTTTCAGATGTACGGTTACTGACTTAATTTATCAACGATCTTCAAATCAAAATGAACATTAGTTCAAACGTAGTATCTGGTAGATACAAAATTGTTGTCCAATTACAAAAATCCAAATTTTTTTTTCTCTTATGTCCTACATAGAGAATCTCGTAGAAAATCAAAGCCAACAATGTCGTATGCTTTCATTCATTGGCTCAACAATGGACTCTGTTTAAAATAGCAGCATAGCGGCAAGTGTACTCCAGCCGAGGTAGCTGTAAGAATTAATTTATATCGGATTTAACAAAATTTAGCATCGGCTTTAGTGGAAGGCGTTGGAGAGATCGTGCACGGATCACTGAAGGCAGAACATGCTAAACGGATAGTACTGTTCATTCATGGTAGATTACCCCTTCTATTGTGTGCATCATAATGATGCTTCATTTTTAATGTCATCCTCGTCTCTTCGTTCTGTTCTTTACGTTCTGCTGAGTCTCATAAATAGGATGTGCTTAATCTTGGATACTTTTGATGTTATGTAAATGCCTGCAGCAGATACTTAGTCGGGTAGTACGACTCAGCCTATAAACTAAACATCCAAATCTTCTTCGCAAGTGGCACCTTTTTGTGAGAAAACCACCGCTCACCATTGTTATGAGAAGTAACTGCACAAAGAAAAACATCTACTGATACGACCTGATTGGGTAATAGCTGAGATTTCCCTACGGGTGTACTGCGAGGATTCGATTCGAGAGAGGGGGCCTGAGAAACGACTCACATCTGAGGAAGCCAGTAGGCGTCCACACAGTGACCGAACTAACAATGCGGGATTCTCATGAAGCATCGTAATTCGAATGATTGTTTCTCAAGTCCCTTAACGAAGAACACCGTTTGTTAATAGCAGGAAGAGATGACCATTTTTGCCGATGATTGTCTAGCTTATAAGAATTTACTTTACGCTAAAAGAAGCCATTGATCCGAAAACTTTGTTGGATTTATTAACGCATAAATAAATTTAGTTTACTAAGTTTATATTTGTATAAACCACTGTATTTACAGGTATGTGAGCACGACGGGCCCAAAAGGTTTTTTCGGGCTGACATTGTGCGGCACGTATTTAATGTAAATATAATCGGCCGCATGGACAAAGCTGAGCAAATTGAGCTGATCAGGAATGACCTGTGGGAAATTTTTAGAAAACATGGTAAGTATGTAGTTACTGCCGAACGCGTCAAGTTCCCTTCTTTTTTTTCGTTAATCATTAGTTCACACCACTGGCACAAAACGCATTAGCAGCCCACAACGTATATTCTATGCTATAGACGTTCGCTTTCTTCTAAATCTTGTGATATCGATTTCGTCCAAAGAGGCTCAAGTGTGCTCACGCAATACCACCTTGCCAATTCATTTTTATGACAAGACACACTGATCTTTTGCACAATAACAGAATGTAATATTTTATACTGTGATCTGGTTCCTATGACATTTCCAGAGACAGAATATCTGCTGCATTTCTTTTCCATTCTTAAGTTCTTCTCGAATATATGAGCCTGTAGCACGCTTTTTTGACAAAGCCTAGCTGAATCGTTTGAAAGAATTAGTTTTTTCTCTTTACCTTTAATAAACACCATTATCAAACGTCTCGACGGAGTTATGAACAAGAAGTATATTGGTTGGTGGATGCGTTCACCAGCGCCAGACACCCACCAGGCGTATTCCACTTTCCTAGCATGATCTTTTCTCGCATCTGCAACGGCTGACTCAGACACTCTTCAGCATTTATCCTGTCATCTTAGGTAACCTTTTTTAGAAAAAGCAAGATTGATTGGCTTTTTTCGTATAGTCAACACTAGACCTAGAGGTTGTGTTTGTGCGAGATTTTTCCTTGTTCAGCTAGAGCAATGTAGAGGCATTTTAGCTGTCGCGGCCTTTTCCTACATTACCTGGCTGACTCTTGCTTTTACGAAGCATCGCCCACCACGATGTTTAATGTCCGAGATCGATTATCAATCAGGCCAGGCCAGAGTTGACAGCTTATTTTGGTCGAAGGTCTAAAAGCGTTTCATTAGAGTAAACTGGTGCGTTAGGGCGAGCTTGGTCGTCCAGAAAATTCGCTAATTTTTCAGTGCCTTTACCACTAAATTTCGGATATTAGTTCCGGTCTTAAAATAATGGCGGGATGTAAGAAAATGGACAAAGGCAATTCGCTCAACGGAGAGAATATGCAGAATCTATTCCTACTTCGCTTGTTGCTCTCCTCCGCATTGTATGATACACTTTCAAAGGATTACCGTGAAGGGAACGTTTCCAAAAAGCATTTTTATCAAGACTGACATAGTTGTTCAACTAAAGAGGTTAGGTGCTTTTTCAGCAAAATTGTTTCCATCCATGTTTTAAAAGTATACTTCCAGATGAACTGTAACTGTTGTATTTTAAGGAAAAAGTAGACGGCGACGATAGATCTAAGTAATGGCTTTCGATAAATTATAAAAAAGGTACCTCTATTCTAGCAGTAAAGACCGGATTTCACAAGGTCGGCCTTCCATGTCACGCAACGTACAGACTATGAGACTCGTATAAGAAGTATTACAGCGCTATAATGTTTGAATAAGCTTTTAAAATCATAGGAGTATCTCGCGTTACCTTTTCAAGTACTTCAATGAACAACATTCAACTAAAATCATCACCTGCAACTAATAATGCTCTAGATATACTGATAGATTGTTTTCAGAGCTTTGAATTTCGGGTTAGTATAAGTTATGTGTTGAGACCAGGAATAGGAAAGTAAAAGAAAAGTTTTGACTCTATAGGGGAAAATTACTGGCGCCTATTAAATGCCGCCTGATGTATCAACAGCGGGTCGTCAATTCGTAGACTTGTATACGGGGTCTAAATGTATACATTTCAAATTCTATTTTTTGCGCACCTCTATAAACAGTCTTTCCGAAGTGTCCAATCGGTTAGATGTTCCTGTTGGTTTCAATAGGCACTCTTGTTTTAGGGAAGTTTTTGTTTTTCACTTTGAAGCTTTTGCTTGAAGCTAAGAAGATGGGAAGGTTCGAAGCTGGATTAATTCGAAATTAAAAATGTGTCTTTCTCTTCACTTTTGCTTGTAGAGTATACCTTGTAACATCATGAAGTTCGAACTCGTTTTTGAATTCTTCGCGAATTGTCATTTGATAATATGGCGGCTAAGCCGGTGACGGATCTGTATATTAGTCTACAATACTAAATGCTCGCAACCTTGTTGCTACATGTTGGCAACCCTGCTTGCAACCTTGGCGACAAAAACGAGCGCCTGTGGACAGTTGTTTGATGTACGTTTTTAGGACCCCAGGACCATTTTATAGTAAACCGTTATTAAATTTAATGAACCATTATTAAATCTAATTTGACACGATTAACTAAACACGATCCTAGAAGCTAATAAATGTCGTTGTAAAAAATAGAAGCTAATAAACTTCTGTCGGCTGAATCTCCATTTAAATAGATGCGACCTAAGGTGTCTGTATTACTAAGGTGTAGGTGAGTGTTGCGGGTAGTCTGTCAGATAGCAAAGAGATTGCTCACTATTGTGCGGCAGTAGCTTTTGCTTAAATATTTTCATTACGGTTCGCCTGAACTCTGTCAGAAACAGAAATTATACAAATCTAATTTCTCAGTTGGATTAATTAGGACTTGTGGGATAACAGGGGCCAAACTGCTTGAGACCAATGGGCCGCAGATTTGTGGGAGGCGGGGGTGTCTCTGATTAGGAGTCCGTATCCCATGACAACCATCTATCAATCAACCTAAGAGTTGAACTTTTAAAGCAGCTGTCGTACCTTTGCTGTTTTAGATACGGTTCACTAATTTACTGTCGCGCTTTAGGAGGTACGTGTATTCCTCTACGGAAATTACGCCTGCGATGCGCCATTACGCTTACAGCTTATTAGATAGATACAATTTGTTGCGCACATATAAAACCTCCATTCAAGGGCTACCTACTCAAATTGCTCAGTGCGCAGCCAGTAGCCATGGGTATATTATACTAAAGTTACGCAACAGAGAAGCAACGACAACTGCAGTTCATATATCGCTTTGGTACTTTGAAGTAGTCGAACAGTTGGACTCTCGCATTTTACTGCCAGAAATTTCAATTAAAACTTCAAAACATATTTTTTTCAACAACCGACGCTACAGTAAGTACATAAAACAACAAATATTCTGGGGTTCGAAATGATCAATAATAGTGCAGAGGTATCAAAGGATTAAACTGTGAACTCTCCATGATAGCGCCATAGTTATCTTTCTACGTTAGGGACACGTGGTCTAGATTCGAATCCGCGCGTAGACACCTTTTTGTGCTGAAAAAGCCAGTCATTTAAAGGAATACCTGACGGCTTAAATACCAGACCGAAAACTCGAACTTTTGATGAGCTGATAAAGTGATTTTATTTAAAGAAGGGCATGGTACGGGCAAACATTTTGTTATAAGATTTTATGGAGATATTTGATAACCGATCTTAATACAGTAAACGCTAACGACGATGTAGGTTAAAGAGAGTGAGCTAGATGCCAGAGCGTGAAAGATAGGCAGAACATTACGCGCCCAGTTTGATAGACGCTTCCAGATTTCAGAGATAACAACAGCATGCCCGTAACACGCCAATGTACGATTTATATAATTTCGGTAGGGGACGACATTAATGCTTTGGCTTTTTGAAGTGCGGTTCATTGGATGGGATAGTTTACTGACAGGTTTATCGGAAATACAACGTCTATACTACTGAGTAGGTTTCATTTAAATATTGCAGTCAAATGAAAGGTGATGTTTGTTGTGAGGTCGTCAAGCTTTGTCCAGTGCACGTCGGTGCTAAAAATGGCGAAAATTTGTGAGAAAATGCCCAACCTCAAAACTTCCCATAGGGAATGTACTATTCACTTTTATGTAACGTTTGAAAAAATGTATTCCTGAATAAAAAAAGTCAAGACTCCTGAGTCACAAGTCAAAAATGTCTACAGAAGGAAATAATGCATTTAAGATACATCGTTCAAGAATTAAGGTTCTCCAAAGACGTCTAATCTTATTAGATTATACGGTTATCTAGAGGGTTCATCATAATTCGCGCAGATGGTGAAGCCAGAATTTTTATCAGTGTAAAAACATTCTGCCCTACTTAACATCAGCACGTGTTTGAATTTGAATAATTATTGCCTGTAAGACAACTATTTTTTTGTATCATCCTCAGCATGCTTGGTACTGCCGTTCTAATTACAGCCAATCGTCTAGATTTTTTAATTGTATTAGCCCTTGGTTACGTCGTAACTGTCGCAACAATATTTGTCTGACTGCACAGAAAATTTTATAAATGTTAAACAATCTGAACATATCTTTTCTGCAAAAAAAGCCGTTTATCAACAGGCGGTTTTTCAGAAATGTTATTTTCTCGTTTTATACCGTTAAGCACGCCAACTGTTAGCCTCATCTCAATCTATCTTATTGTGGGTCTTCTAGGTACGGTGAAGGGTGAGCTACTGCCGGCAGAGGTAGTTGAGACACCTAAACAGCCGTTGTGGAACCAAATCTATATGGGAGACGTTCTGCTCAAGCTTAACGATTTCTTATTATTCGACAATGAGGACTTCGTCAATCTTCGTATAGAGATCAAAGAAAAGGTTGCCTTAACAATTTTGCCTCTGTCCCCGATGCGGTCATTTTTAAGGACAGAATAACTTGGGATTGAAGCCCACCGCCAACTCGGAAGCGTCACTGTATCAAGTGGATGCCAAAATGCTGGAAGTTCTCTGCGCTACTCCCTGTCAAGGATAACTCGAATTTAAAACGAAGTGCTCGTTCTGCCTGATGGAATATCCCACGGATGGAAATGTTCCATACGGGCACTAAAAACATAGATGAGGAGGAACAGATATCCATGCAATCGTAAGAAGCTAAAGGCGTATGTTAATACAATAAAAAAACTACATAGCCGCTGGTGGCCAGGTCTTATTCGTGTGGTGAGGGTCGGAAGGCTGGGAAGAGGGGTTTCTTCTAGAAGAACTTTACTTTTGTTCAGAAATGTCTGACAATGGACCAGGGGGAATCTCAGCACCAGGTAAGACCCTTTAGTTTAGCTTTGTGTGAACATACATATTTTAATAGCGAAACGGACATAAACATATAAACTTTATATATATAGACTTTTATAATAGACTTTTAAACACACACAATACTCGATGGTAACAACAATAATAACGACGAAGGTACGTACAACCGGTTCTCCTCTACAGCGGTAACAAGGGCTTAGGACACAATGATCTGTTAAGCTCGAGGCAACAACAAACAGCTACGGGTTGTCGATGCAAAACTTTCAGAGTTCCCCAGGACCTGACACATGAGTGTGCAGAACTAATCATGCCAACTAATGTACGCTCGTGTGTGTGCTTTAAATAAGATTCTTGGCCGGCTTCTGGAGACCTGGAAGTTCGAAGAGTCGACACAGATTGCTAGTATATTAAGTCGCCAGGTATGAGGGGCCGAGGAAACGAAGGAGGTTGTACGAATTTTAATTGTCGTTTTGTTACAACAGTAGTTAGCTAAAGGAGACCTTTTTCTCATTTTTCACAAACTACAGTTCTTTCACTTTCTAGCTTTCTGACTGCTTTTATTATGTTTCTTGTGTATTTCTCACTTTGTGTTTGGGAGGTGCAGCTACGTAATCAGAAGAAGAAAAGGTTGAAAGGCAGGCTACCGCATTAATCGGATAATCGTGAGATCGATTTGAAGCGAAGTTTATTTAAAAGATTTGGAGAAGGAAGACAAAGAGGAAAAATATGGTTTTTCTTTCCGCGTGGCCGTCGAAATATTCCGGGTCATGTAGAACTTTGGCCTTCAGGAAATGAATCTTTCTTTTGTAGGTTGAGAGTGTAGGTAAGACACTTAACCCCACTAGAGAAAGGGTTTTTAGGACTACTAAGGTCCAGAGAAAAAAAACAGTTCCGGCGGTCGATTACATATAAGCGAATGTAGCTAGCCTTTGAGCTACAATGACATTCCTTAACTATTACGACGATTACTTCTGCCCTTACTGTTGCAAAGTACTGCGACTACATTTTCACAGTCGTAGAAAGGATAGCACCGGAATGTTGATTAATCACTCCCGTACCACAGCAAGGAAATGGGTTCCATGGATACAGGAATCACAGCGGCACACCAAGTACTGCCTGTTTCTAGGTAGAGCTTAGGTTCATAGCCGTTTGTCTGTATATTGCCGGATTCCAAATAGCTGCATGCGAGAAATACAACGCCCCGAAATAGAGTGATTCATTGCGTATTTTTTTCTCTGGTTATTGTCCAAGTAAAGTTAACGTTAATTCTTCTCTGGCTTTCATTTCCATTTTCTTGTGTTTGACCGTTGCATTGAATTAATCGTACTAGATAGGAACTTGAGCTGGCAAAGCTTTGGAGTGCGGGCAGGGGGACTTAAGGCTGAGGAAGGATGTCAAGCCAGTTTCTTTTAAAACTCAAAATAGAATCTATAATGACAGTAATTATAATAATAACAGCAGCAGTTGAGAAAGATGGCCAAAGGGGGGCAACAAGTTGACAATGGAAGCAGAAAGGAAATAGTTGCGACGGACAGGTAGCAAGCGCATCACCAAACGAGGAAACGGGCGGCCCCCTCTTTTTATTTCCTAAGTGAAAATATTCGAATGTTAGCATACCACTTTATTAAGCATATGACCACAGATTTCAACGGACGACAATATCCTTGCAAAAATGGCAAAAAGTTGGACTCAGTTTACTTGTGGATTGTTCTTTGACATTATTTGCGTCAACTTGACGTGCTAGAATATGTTTGTATGCGCTAATTAACTACATCTACAGGCATCAGAAGCCGTCGTTTGACGCTAGAAGTTACGTGAATTTCAGATACAGGACAAAAGCAGTTTCGAACATCTAATACAAATAATATAATGTCAAACGTGATATTCTGGTCAAATAATGTGTTTATTAAATCATAACAAACCTTTAAAAAAACAGGTACGTATGTGTCTGTGCCAGTCATGAGCCGATAGGTCAGTTCACTGAAACGATATCTTCGACAGGCATACTTAACTTACGCTCGACGTACAAAGTAACCTATTTTGGCACGCCTTACATAGCTCTTCATATAATTTAGAAGCTGTACTTTGCTGATATTGCTCGCTCTTCTATCATCTCTACTTATTCAGTCCTGATACATCAACGATGCCCAATGAGCAGCTCGCCTGGGAAATACAGATCTAAAGAGACATTAATTTTTCCCCGGTTACTTTCCAGCTTTCGTCCAGTTTACGACAAACTAATGTCTTTGACGACAGCGCATGCGTAGTAGTATAAAAATGTAAATTCATCACATTTTAACTCCTTTCGACACCTTTCCATTCACGCATATGGCTTTGCTCGAATTTCCTTTTCCTTTTATGGCCTAAAAGGCATTATTAACGTTAGTGCTGTATCTTTTGCACAAGGATTACCGTTATTGCTTATTGTTGCATGCATCCTTGTCCAAATTGTTGTTACTATCACTATTTTACTGTAGCCTTAATGTTACTTTCGTTGTCTCAGTCCGTGTGTTGTATATGTGGAAGATGCGGGTGGAGTGGCTCCTTGGTTCTCTTGTCGCTTGCTGTCCCCCAAATCGTATAGCTCATGTGACATGCTGGACCTTATTTGGTTTATGCCTTTTTTTCCATTACTCATTAGTGTCAGGAGATAGATAGGGGGAAGGGGGGCGATAAAAAAAGGGTTTTATCTCAATGCGCAATTTGAACGCCCTGGCAAGGCCGCACAAAGAGTGCACTGCTAAATGTCTCTTGGGAACGATACTCATTGCCGAGGGCAGTCTCATGTACCACCTGCGCTTCTTTACACATCTACGTGTTTTCACCTTTGTCGGCCCTACTTTCCCTACCAGGCCAAAACCCCATGGCGTTTCTGCACCTGCTATGTTCAAAGAGGTACTCCTAGCAACTCATGAAAATGTATCTGGTCTTCTGTCCGTGGAAGGACATTGCGCCCCATTAACGAAGTGAAAACTGACAACACTTAAACAGGATGCTAATCAGGGAAGACTTTTTGTACTTACAATAGAACGCCCTTATATAGGGAAGTTCATTATTTGATAAGTATAATAGGCCTTCGTTGTCCACATTGCTTTCAGCATTAATTTATATACAGATATTTAGTAGCAGCGGTGCATAAAACACAGGTCTTCTTTGTTTCCTGCTAGGTGTGCTTCGTTTATGAAAACCATCCATTAAAGGGGCTTTTTAAGTGATTTGAGTAGATGTTTATGGGAAAATCGCCGATTCGGTGGCCCGTCGCTTAGCGATACATCAGATGCTACTATTCAACGTCCTTGTAAAAAAAAAATTGAAATTTGCATTTCAGTATTTATTAGTATGCAAGGAAGCAGTAAAAATATGTAAGCACTTATAATTTGTAAAAAAGCTCTAGATAGCGCAATACACACGTCTCAAATTTATCTTGAGAGGTATATCAATATTTTGACATATTGGGTACTAAAACTTAAATATATGGTCGAACATTGCCGCACCTAACTTCGTAGCGAGAGAAGCTTGAATCGGCAGGGTACCGCATCGGTGCCTCGATAGGACTATACTTTGATCAGTCGCACGAAATATCTAAACTCTTGCAGCATATTAATCACGATGAAGATGGCCATGTGGCGTGACATCGCTTATAGAGCTTGCATGACGACGGACCAGCAGACGTGCTCATTTAGGATATCATTGCGATGCAGGTTTTTTGAACATGCTACCCACGACATCACAGAGGCGTCCTAATATCGATAACGATTATATATGTAATGAGTTTGATGAGAACAATGGTGCATCTTGCTACTCGGAGAAGGATATTGTAATATATGCCTAAAAGTTCCAGGTTCTTCATTAGTTCTAGGAATATAAAGGCATACTCAGGCTGATCTATTTGGTAGAGTATATAAGTGGGATGTATTGTTTAGGTTATACGTCTTCATTACGAGTTACATTATTTAGATGTATCCTTTTTCATCGAAAAGCGTGTTTTGAGCGCGCAATTATTTAGCGCAGTGATTTCAAATCCTAGCAAAGGACTACTTACAGGCAGATGGACTTAATATATCTTCCTAACTTGGTCTGTCCAGACTAACAGACCTTTCATGAGTGTTTCTAGGTCTTCTGTAATATTACATACTTCATACGTGCTAATATCAGTGTTAAAGGCGTGCATGGATTTTGCTTACTTCAGTCATCTAACTCTAAACAAAAAGTCTGAGTTTATCTAGCACCGACGTATCTTCACTTTCTCAGTTAATCGGTGGATTTCAAACAAACACTTAATTGTTGTGAGTGATAAAATTTTTCATCTTGGCAAGCTATGCTGTAAAAACGCGATAACGGACAGAAAGTAGCGTTTGACGTGAAAAGAAGATTTAGGGAAGGCTACACTGCTGGAAATAAACGACCAGGCCGTGGGCAGAAATTCTATTGTGACTCCTTCCAGGATGAAACCGTAGCTAATCGTTTACGACAGTCGGAAGTTTTCCGCTACTCCGGCTTTCTGCCCATACAATGACATTAAATTTCGACCACGAATTCGTCAATTCGCCTTTAAATGTTTTGGAAGGCATTAGGTAATAGCCTAATCTTTCGTACGTGAATTCTCTCAATTAAGTACTACGTATCGAATCAAACCGCTCAAAGTAGGATTAATCTTATTAGCTCATTAGGGAAACCTAAGTCCCTACCCCCCGGTAACTAACTTCTAGTAAGAACAGATCGATAATACTATACCTAAACAAGATGATTCCGAGGACTTGTTCACGTAAGCTAACCAAAAATGCTGCGAAAAATACAAGCAAGCTTGTGAGTTTCGTACGTAACACAGATACATGTCAGAATGTTTCACTTGCTGCTATTTGTGTTTTACAATGCGCTG